AAATTCACGTGGGGCCGCATCCGCCTCCCGCGCTCGAAAGCCGAGTTTGGCCAGCTCTTCAAGCTCCAAAACAACGCCCGCGACCCGCCGGATACGTACCTGCCCGTGTCGCACACGTGCTTTTTCTCGCTCGAACTGCCGAAATACTCGTCCAAGGCGATTTTGACCCAGCGGCTCATGTACGCAATCTACAACTGCCACGCGATCGACGGCGACGGCGACGCGCTCGCGGCCAACCAGCTCGGCTGGGAAGACTAGAGTACATAATGGATCCTCGCACTGCATGTGTACGGCATGTATCGTGTGTTTGGTAGACCGCAGGCTGCTTCTCGGGTTGGACTATCGCATTGGATTGTGTCGTTGCAAAACGGCTTATGATGGTGCAATGCGACGACCTTGTCAACCTCAAAGGGGCATTTTAGGGCAGTTCACGTCTTGCTTGTCAACCTCAAAGCGGCATTTTAGGGCAGTTCACGTCTTGAAACGCGTCGTTCACATCCTTACCAAGGCGTCGCAACCCATCAGCAGCCTTGGATATCAGGATATGCTCCGGACGGTCATGTCAGCTGCAAGATGGAGCCCATGCACCCAGCAATGCGCGTCGGACAGGGCACGGTCAATCTCGGACGCATCTTGCACGCATCTAGATTGCGATTTGCATGTGTATCACAACTACATTCCCTTGATAGCACTCGGTTGAGATACACTGCAACTCATTTTTGTGGCTCCGTCAAACGCCCAGACTTGACGAACACCGTTTCTAGATTGTTGGATTGAAGGTCGGCGCTGCGACCTATAATTATTGTAGCGTTCGTCAACCGCATCATGGAAGCCTTGCATTGACCGTACGTCCAGCGTGTGCTCAACGCACGTGGGATTTCGCCCCTGCGCCACCATCGCCTCCGAGTACGAGGGCTGCGTCGCGACGGACGAACAAGCGCTTCTGTCGCGCTATTCGACTACATTGTAAAATGTGTACCTCGTTGTCGAGATGACCAGTCATCCCCATAGCCTTCTCACAAGTGCAACGCACGAATCGGTGCCGAATGCCAGCACCTCGTCCCATTTAAAGCTACGTTCGTCAACGTGGCCAGCGCGTCGGCGGCTGATTGACTGCCCAAGCTCGAGCCTTATCGCAGCTTTGGCCCGGCGTTTGGCACTGGTGCTATCTAGCCAACGAGGCAAGCGAGCTATCTAGCCAACGAGGCAAGCGAGCCTGTATGACAAAGGCACCGATGGCCGCTTGTACAGGAAGGAAACACAACTCTTCAGATGGTTCAAACAGAGATGCTATCGACTACTACTTGGTACCAAGGTCGAGAGCTGAACCTGCTGCAGATGGCGCAAGACCGTGGCGATGGTTGGTCGCAAGTGCTTGTCGTGTTGGAGACACAAGAGCGCGATCTTCTGGATGCGCATCGGGCACGACGGCGAGAGCTTGGGTCGGATCGCACCGGCGGCGAGCTTCATGGCGAGCTCCGCTTGCTTCATCGACGCCATTTCCGTCGCAAACGGGATCTCGCCCGTGTCGATCTCTGTCAAGAGCATGCCGAACGCGTAGACATCCACTTTTTCGTGTAATCTTCGCCGTCCATGAGCAGCTCGGGCGCCGACCACTGCAGATCGCTGACGCCGCTTGTCATGTCGTACTCGAAGGTTTGGTCGCGCGCG